TGCAAAATGTACATGATCTATATAGATTTTGTTGAACTAAAATTTGTCAGATTTCTACGGTAAAAGGAAAATTGATATAGCGCTTTTCTTGATCAGTTTATTCTGGCGCCAGCTGTGATGTGTGTTACGATGTAAATGTTTGTGTGCAATCGCATTTCATTTGAATGCGGTCTTAACAATATGAATACATATACTAATGCATCGCCTTCTAAGCATCTGTGATACATCTTCTATTTATTGTGAGGCATAGCATGTCTTTTCCGTTTCTCACTTGTCAAAAACATGTGTATAGCTGATTAAGATATATTATTACTATATAATGGTCGTAGAACATGGGAAATTATAATTATATTATCAACACCTCTGACGACAGATCCGAAAAAAACTGTATATTCATATTAGTAGATTGTTTTGCCACAATTTAGCAATGAATACTACAATAGTGATAATCATTGTATATGTCACATTAATGTTGATTACTTTTGCTTGTGTCAAGTTTACCTTGACTACCTGGAAACAAGGAAGGTGGGAAAACTCTACACCAGGATGATCGTGGCCTCAGTCTTCAGATACAGATATAATAGAGATAATATTGATATATTCCATGCTTGCATAACAAATCACTCAATTTGCTTGAAAATATATGATCCACCTTGTTCAACATGAATACAAAATCTTTATTTTGATGAATATATTTCGTCGGTAATTGTTAACTTCACTGAAGACATACTTGAAGAACAGACTAATTTTTCAAGCATTATTGAAAACCTCTTAGTAAACGTTTATCGGTGAAAGGGGAATTATATAGTATTATCCCTCTCATTGCCTTCCTAATTAGACGTAAAAATACGTCAAGGAGCGTCATGTACATCTCTTTACTGTGCATTGACATGTAATTTTCAATTAGTGACGTCATGACAAGTATGTTACAGTTTATTTTAGTTTACCATTGCATAAAATATGTCCCGAACATGACAAACTGAAATTATAAGCGTTCCGCGGCAATGTGATATTTTTGAGTACAGAAAATCACGGTCGAAGAGAGTATGGAAAGATTAGTACGCTACACATGTGCATTCTCATGGACTGTGATCGTGTCTCGCCTGATGAAACACGACAGACATGTAAAAACAAGAATAAAGACGGCGAAGTAGTACAATAATGCGTTGATTATTTGCAGCCACAGGCTTTCGTCAAACAACATTATATGCGATTATCGTGTGTTCAATCGACAATGGTAAATATATTCTAATTAAACTGTTTTCAATTAAGACACGATCATAAATTGTCACGAAAGCACTGTTTCCAATTACTCTCGAGAGACAAATGAAATCAACAGTTGGCATTCGACTACATAACCACTAGTATAGACCATGTAATGTTTAGTTATTTTAGACGAAATCTGTATTGATGATTTGATAGTGCTCTATTACTTTACAAATACATGACAACCTAATTATATTCTGAATATACCTAATCGACTAGTAGGAAATATTGAATATATAGGTTACACATTTTATTTGCAAAATGGCATTCTACAATAATTATTTAAAATTAGTTTTAATGTTGTCTAAATAGTGCATTTTTTAAAAACCAGTAACCAGTACCAACCCCCTCTTTACCCCATCTATCGTGCTGACTTATTCGTTTTCGGAACCAATGCTGAAAGTGGAGACAGCGAACATTGATCTCTTTCGCCGTGCGGCTTAAAAAAAGTTATAATTATAGTATATTTTCAACCCGTTAGTATTTTATGTTGTATTTTGTTGCTACTAATTGTATATGGAGATTGCATTTGCTCGTTTTTACAGAATATTATGCGAATGTGTATATCTGGTTTATGTTTTTCACTGTCATCTGAGTTTGACGATCATACAAACAAACAGCGATACATAAATTCGTGTCCTATAATTAAATTATATCATCTTTTCTCGGAGTACGAAAATTATAAAAAAAAAACGGTTTGGCAGCTCAGTCGATGTTAATGGTTCATCCGACAAATAACCAGAATTTGGTTACTGACGATTGCACTTTACTAGTATTAAATGTGTGTTATGTCCTGTCACACGTTTTGCGAAATGCTTAATAGTTTTTTTTTTCTGTCTACAAAATAAATATACTGACACTCAAAGCTGCTGTCTGACTGAAATAAAATTAGGATTTTACGGATATGTTTTTCAAATATAAAAATACCTGTCAATTAAACTATTTGAAAACACATTTTATACTCAGACATTTTCAATTTCTGTATCGTCTTCTAAGATGCATATTACATCGTTATGACACACTGAACATAACATAGTTAAAAGGAACTGACATCTACAACGCTTAATGCCAAACAGCATCGTGAGAGGCAAGCACAAATACTATCTCGTGGTCGAAGTTCGTGGAACATTCCATGGATGGGGGCATGATATCATTTATGCTCCATTTAAAACAAACAATGCAATTTCAGTGATCATTACTGCTTATGATGTTTATTAAATAATGTTAATAACGAGTTTACATTGGCGGATTTAGAGGGGGCCGAGGGGGCCACCCCCCTATTTTTAACAACCATCAGGGCTTCGCTCCATCGGCGCTCGCGAACTTGGTTGATAAACAAATTATTACATTGATCTGCTATTATATTTGTAATATATTATAATACATTAATACTTTATTTCAAACCAAGAAAAACAATATTGTGATGTAAACCGTGTGTACGTCACTAAAACAAAGCAAACATTTGTACTTCAATTGCTAGTTTATTTATCAAATAAAAATAAATCTACACTAATATATATCTAACTTAATGTCGTTATTTATACACAACAAAATAAACAGGGTCCACACGGGTATAATCAATAGTATAACATCAAACTTAGTTTTCGTATATTTCTCTAGTATATTGAAATGATAAATTACATTACAAACATCTGATAGGAACTAAATTGGCCATCCAAGGCTACATCACATTGTTAACCTTGCCTGAAGGCGTTAATGCATTTTGAATGATTTGTGCCGAATATAACGAATGCTATATAACATTACAGCAAATACAATTGCCAAGGGTGATTAAGTTAGCAGGATTTCCTGAAATCCAAAGAGAGACTCGGTGAGTAGAACTATGCTGTTGCTATTTGGTTCTTCCGGATGTCGAGCATATTAGCTTTCAAGTCGTATTTTGATTTTGTGAGATGTACCCCTGTAGTCTCTATAACCTAGCCTGAAAAACAGACATGACCTTATTGTGATATTAAAAATGTTTTAAGAAACAGCTATCATTTTAGAAATGAAGGAAACATTAATTAGAAATATATACGCATTTATACTTCATGATGTATACTTTACAGTGATTTTGTTTGAGAACAAGAATAACAGTTGTTACGCCATTTGTGCTATCATTCATGTTATTTTCTTCATCGAATTTGTTTCATGACAAACAAACACAGTCTACTCGAAAAAGTGTTTTTCGAAGATTTCAGACTAAATGCTTCTTACAATAGTGTGATAGGTTTTAGACATTATTTTTCAATATTTTCTAGCAAAAATTCCATCCTGATAGTAACGTTTGATGTCAATTATTAGTCGTTACGGGAAAGGAACACACAAAGACCACTGTGTAAATATAATAATGTAGTATGCATAAAATATGAATTGACAAATCCATGTATGACAGACAATTATTGAGACTGAAAACTCACTGCTTCAGCAAATTTTCTAAATATTACAAGTTTGTATAATTACAATAGGCGGCTTTCAAAACTCTATATTCAGTATTATAGCTCTGTGAATTTACGGGTATTAACAATTGAAAACGGGTGGTTAGAAACTTGTGTGGTGTCATCGTATTTTACAATTCTATTACAATGATGTATATTTATGAACATTAATCAATTACACAAAATGATATTATCTGGTTCAATTTATTCGTTGTCTGCTTCGTCATCTATGACTTGTAATCGATTACTGTGGCCATCAGATGAATGCACGTATTGTTGGTTAACTGTGTCATCAGCTGCCGGCCGCTTTGAAGCATGTCGTGGTTTTCTTAGAAATGAAACTGCAGACGTAGTAAATGTACGTGTCTGTGTGATGCTCGACTGACTGCCGAGTCTCTGTGCTCGCACGTGTATGGTTCCACGGCGGTGTCGCAACATACACTTAGTACATCGTCGTACCAGGGCCTTTAAATCACTCTGAATTAGAAAATAACAAATAACAACAAAAGCATTTATTATGGAACTTAATTCGCCGAAAAATCATGAATGTTTTAATTTAGTGTTTCACTTACCCGGAAACTGTCATTGAGAAATCCATACACAAAGGGATTTACAAAACTATGTGCCATGGCAAACCATAATATGGCAGCATTGATGAGTCGCATCATGTCTTGGTACTCGTAGTCTGAATAAAGCCATGGGTAAAACAAAGTAATAACTTTGAATATGTGGACTGGAAGCCAGCATATGGCAAATATTAGCACGATGATCACCAGCATCTTAATAACCTACAATGAAAGGTCCTGTTTAGTTAGATAATAATATCACTGACGCAAATGGCAGCTGATGTCTCGTTCAGAGCGAGAGAACCACGCGGCTAGTTTTTTACCTCTAAAATAGCATTCCGTTTTCTCCCGTCGATCGCGTCTACTGGTTTATGTAGCGCAATGGAACACTAGCCTCTGTCGCTCTGAACAACATTTCGGAGTTTTCTGTTTGCACGTCTAATTTTTGTAAATGTCAATGTTAATACGTTAATTCATGACCTTATAACTCATATGTTTGTAGACAATGTGCGTCAACATAACTACGTCGAAATGTCGTATAATAGTGCTTGTCCATGGTAGAAATAAAAATATTGTCGAATTTGCTTAACAAAATTCGGCTTATGCACCACCTTCCCTGCTGTATCGAATTTACATATAAATTTCAATCAAACAAGATACATGGAGAGAGATATTGGTGTAAAGTTGAGATATTCAAGACATGTTGACAATTGAGGGACCTTGGGCAAAAATGGCCGCCGCGATCTCATTGACAGTAACAAGTGAACGCAATGACGAGATCTCGCTGACAGTAACAAGTGAACGCAATGACAAGATCTCACTGACAGTAACGACTGAGCGCAATGACGAGATCTTGCTGACAGTAACAAGTGAACGCAATGACGAGATCTCACTGACAGTAACGACTGAACGCAATGACGAGATCTTGTTGACAGTAACGACTGAACGCAATGACGAGATCTCACTGACAGTAACAACAGAACGCAATGACTAGATCTCGTTGACAGTAACAAGTGAACGCAATGACGAGATTTCGTTGACAGTAACGACTTAACGCAATGACGAGATCTCGCTGACAGTAACAAGTGAACGCAATGACAAGATCTCACTGACAGTAACGACTGAGCGCAATGACGAGATCTTGCTGACAGTAACAAGTGAACGCAATGACGAGATCTCACTGACAGTAACGACTGAACGCAATGACGAGATCTTGTTGACAGTAACGACTGAACGCAATGACGAGATCTCACTGACAGTAACGACAGAACGCAATGACTAGATCTCGTTGACAGTAACAAGTGAACGCAATGACGAGATTTCGTTGACAGTAACGACTTAACGCAATGACGAGATCTTGTTGACAGTAACAAGTGAACGCAATGACGAGATCTCGCTCTCGCTGACAGTAACAAGTGAACGCAATGACGAGATCTCACTGACAGTAACGACTGAACGCACTGACGAGATCTCCAGCTGACAGTAACAAGTGAACGCAATGATGAGATCTCGTTGATAGTAACGATTGAACGCAATGACGAGATCTCGTTGACAGTACCGAGTGAACACAATGACGATATCTCTTTGACAGTAACAAGTGAACGCATCGACGAGATCTCACTTACAGTAACGACTGAACACAATGACGAGATCTCGTTGACAGTAACAAGTGAACGCAATGACGAGATCTCACTGACAGTAACGACTGAATGCAATGACGAGATCTCATTGACAGTAACGACTGAACGCAATGACGAGATCTCGTTGATAGTAACGACTGAATGCAATGACGAGATCTCGTTGACAGTACCGAGTGAACGCAATGGCGAAATCTCCTTGACAGTAACGAGTAGACGCAATGACGAAATCTCACTGACAGTAACGACTGAACGCAATGATGAGATCTCACTGACAGTAACGACTGAACGCAATGACTAGATCTCGTTGACAGTAACGAGTGAATGCAATGACGAGATCTCGCTGACAGTAACAAGTGAACGCAATGACGAAATCTCACTGACAGTAACGACTGAACGCAATGACGAGCTCTCGTTGACAGTAACAAGTGAACGCAATGACGAGATCTCACTGACAGTAACGACTGAACGCAATGACGAAATCTCACTGACAGTAACGACTGAACGCAATGACGAGCTCTCGTTGACAGTAACAAGTGAACGCAATGACGAGATCTCACTGACAGTAACAACTGAACGCAATGAGATCTCGTTGACAGTAAAAAATGAACGCAATGGCGAGATTTCCTTGACCGTAACGAGTAGACGCAATGACGAGATCTCGTTGACAGTACCGAGTGAACGCAATGACGATATCTCGCTGACAGTAACAAGTGAACGCAATGACGAGATCTCGCTGACAGTAACAAATGAACGCAATGAGGAGATCTCGTTGACAGTAACGAGTAGACGCAATGACGAGATCTCGTTGACAGTAACGACTGAACGCAATGACGAGATATCGTTGACAGTAACGACTGAACGCAATGACGAGATCTCGTTGACAGTAACAAGTGAACGCAATGACGAGATCTCGTTGATAGTAACGACTGAATGCAATGACGAGATCTCGTTGACAGTACCAAGTGAACGCAATGACGAGATCTCCTTGACAGTAACGAGTAAACGCAATGACGAGATCTCACTGACAGTAACGACTGAATGCAATGACGAGATCTCACTGACATTAACGACTGAACGCAATGACTAGATCTCGTTGACAGTAACGAGTGAACGCAATGACGAGATCTCGCTGACAGTAACGAGTGAATGCAATGACGAAATCTCACTGACAGTAACGACTGAACGCAATGATGCGAACTCGTTGACAGTACCAAGAGAACGCAATGACGAGATCTCGCTGACAGTAACGAGTGAACGCAATGACGAGATCTCGCTGACAGTAACAAGTGAACGCAATGACGAGATCTCACTGACAGTAATGACTGAACGCAAAGACGAGATCTCGTTGACAGTAACAAGAGAACGCAATGACAAGATGTCACTGACAGTAACGACTGAGCGCAATGACGAGATCTTAGTAACAGTAACAAATGAACGCAATGACGAGATCTCACTGACAGTAACGACTGAACGCAATGATGAGATCTCGCTGACAGAAACAAGTGAACGCAATGACGAAATCTCACTGACAGTAACGACTGAACGCAATGATGAGATCTCGTTGACAGTAACGAGTAGACGCAATAACGAGATGTCACTAACAGTAACGACTGAACGCAATGACGAGATCTCACTGACAGTAACGACTGAACGCAATGACTAGATCTCGTTGACAGTAACGAGTGAACGCAATGACGAGATCTCGCTGACAGTAACAAGTGAACGCAATGACGAAATCTCACTGACAGTAACGACTGAACGCAATGAAGAGATCTCGTTGACAGTAACAAGAGAACGCAATGACGAGATCTCGCTGACAGTAACGAGTGAACGCAATGACGAGATCTCGCTGACAGTAACAAGTGAACGCAATGACGAGATCTCACTGACAGTAATGACTGAACGCAAAGACGAGATCTCGTTGACAGTAACAAGAGAACGCAATGACAAGATGTCACTGACAGTAACGACTGAGCGCAATGACGAGATCTTGCTGACAGTAACAAGTGAACGCAATGACGAGATCTCACTGACAGTAACGACTGAATGCAATGACGAGATCTTGACAGTACCAACTGAACGCAATGACGAGATCTCACTGACAGTAACAACAGAACACAATGACTAGATCTCGTTGACAGTAACGACTGAACGCAATGACGAGATCTCGCTGACAGTAAAAAGTGAACGCAATGATGAGATCTCGTTGACAGTACAGAGTGAACGCAATGACGAGATCTCGTTGACAGTAACAAGTGAACGCAATGAGATCTCGTTGACAGTAACAAATGAACGCAATGGCGAGATTTCCTTGAGAGTAACGAGTAGATGCAATGACGAGATCTCGTTGACATTACCGAGTGAACGCAACGACGATATCTCGCTGACAGTAACAAGTGAACGCAATGACGAGATCTCGCTGACAGTAACAAATGAACTCAATGACGAGATCTCGTTGACAGTAACGACTGAACGCAATGACGAGATCTCGTTGACAGTAACAAGTGAACGCAAAGGCGAGATTTCCTTGACAGTAACGACTGAACGCAATGACGAGATCTCGCTGACAGTAACAAGTGAACGCAAAGGCGAGATTTCCTTGACAGTAACGACTGAACGCAATGACGAAATCTCGCTGACAGTAACAAATGAATGCAATGAGGAGATCTCGTTGATAGTAACGAGTAGACGCTATGACGAGATCTCGTTGACAGTAATGACTGAACACAATGACGAGATATCGTTGACAGTAACAAGTGAACGCAATGATGAGATCTCGTTGATAGTAACGACTGAATGCAATGACGAGATCTCGTTGACAGTACCAAGTGAACGTAATGACAAGATCTCCTGGACAGTAACGACTGAACGCAATGACGAGATCTTGTTGACAGTAACGACTGAACGCAATGACGAGATCTCGCTGACAGTAAAAAGTGAACGCAATGACGTGTTCTCGTTGACAGTACCGAGTGAACGCAATGACGAGATCTCGTTGACAGTAACAAGTGAACGCAATGGCGAGATTTTTTCTGACAGTAACGACTGAACGCAATGACGAGATCTCGTTGACAGTAACAAGTGAACGCAATGACGAGATCTCACTGACAGTAACGACTGAACGCACTGACGAGATCTCCAGCTGACAGTAACAAGTGAACGCAATGATGAGATCTCGCTGACAGTAACGACTGAACGCAATGACGAGATCTCACTGACAATAACGACTGAACGCAATGACGAGATCTCGTTGACAGTAACGACTGAACACAATGACGAGATCTCGTTGACAGTAACAAGTGAACGCAATGACGAGATCTCGTTGATAGTAACGACTGAATGCAATGACGAGATCTCGTTGACAGTACCAAGTGAACGCAATGACGAGATCTCCTTGACAGTAACGAGTAGACGGAATGACGAGATCTCACTGACAGTAACGACTGAACGCAATGACGAGATCTCGTTGACAGTAACAAGTGAACGCAATGACGAGATCTCACTGACAGTAACGACTGAACGCAATGACGAGATCTCGTTGACAGTAACAAGTGAACGCAATGACGAGATCTCACTGACAGTAACGACTGAACGCAATGACGAGATCTCGCTGACAGTAACAAGTGAACGCAATGACGAGATCTTGTTGACAGTACCG